GTTGAATAGACAGCTTTTGCACGAGTTGATAAACCATTTTGTTCAGTTAAAACAAAACAAAGTACACGATGTTGATATTGATAGACTGTGAATAATAAAAACCACAACACAGCATAAAAGAAGAGTTGTGAAATAATGAATCAAATGTTGAAACCTGAACGACAATGTTTGGAACGCATTGCAAATTATAATACAATGAAATTCTATAATAACGGTGCTAGCATTCTGCAGTGTTATCGACAACGGTTACCATCAACTGTTTTACAAGACTTTTTATTTCTTGGTAAAATGAATTTTACCTTTTAAATTCAGTTTTTCTAGCTTTTACATATTGTTTTTCAGGAAATTTTGATCACGCTTGTGACGTTGAACAACTACGTTCACTTGGCATCAAACATATTTCGAAAGTATGCAATGAATCATTAAATGAGACGATATTAAATAACTTTAATGTAAGTATAATGTAATCTCATCGATCTGACATCTTTCTGCGCATTTTTTCTAGGTATGTCACGTTAATTTACGTGATTTAGTTGAAACAAATATTAAAGAACATTTTCAATTAACAAATGATTTTTTGCGAATGTGTTATTTGAAAAACGAAAAAGTCTTGTGCCATTGTCATGCAGGAATATCACGTAGTGCTACAGGTTCGTTTATCTAAACCGAACTATTTCAAAATAGTAGAAATATATGATCCTAAGACATATTGTTATTTTCGTTGTATTAGCCTATCTGATGAAATATTTGAGGGTGAAATTTGAGCAAGCCTATTATTATCTATCGGAAAAACGAATCATTATTTGTCCAAATATTGATTTCTTAACACAAGTTGTTGAGTACGAGCACGATCTTTTAAAAGACATCTCAAATCAAAATGATAATAATTAACATGATAAAGAAAATAAACCTATGTAAAAAACGATTTATCTGAATTAAAATTACCGTCAAATAATTTAGAGCCTCTGTAATAAGGTGTAATAATCTAATGCCTTTTTTTCATCTATTCTGAATATTTTTGTTGTGCCAGTTATTAATGTCTTTTGAAAATAAAATATTTATAATTGATATTGCAATCTCAACTCACTAATATACCGTAGTTCAATAAGATTCGTTTTATTCAGACACCTTAGAACAGCCATAAAGCCCATATTTCAAACACTGCATTTTTATTGTCTTATCTATTCTTTTTTGAAAAATCAAAACATTATTCAAGTACCTTTGATTGCCTCTTATTCTAGATGAATACAATGTATCAATAATTGTGGATGATAAATTTAATACAAAGGAGGAGGGTGGATAAGGCCGTTTTCTTACCCACAAAATTTTCATATTTTTTACATTTGAACCATGTCAGAGTATGCCCAGGAACCTTTCCACGCATTTATTTCGCGAAATCTTTTAGTCAGGTTTTTGACGCCTGAGATCCCCTACAGGGATTTTGAAAAACGTTTCATTTTTGATCTTTTTAAAAGCCATTGCACGTTAGGACCGACCGAAGTTGCTCAATCAATGTCTGAATTTTTTGCTCCTACTTGCACAGTAGGTAGCAGCGATATACTTAGGAGGAAGATTCCCAAAACGTTTTAATCGGAACTTACTTACTTCAGAAGTTATGCAGTTTTTCGTAACAGCTCTACAAACAGACCGAAACGATAACTATGTAAAAGTGAAATTTCTTTTGTTTATATCTTGGTCTAGGAAGCAGATCTGTTAACAATGGCCTAAGAACAAGCAGTTAATTGTTTGTTAGTAAGGCTCAGATTTATATAATCATTCCACCTTTGGAGCATAAGTAGTCGAGATCGAGTACTATCTATAGTCAAGAGCGTGTGCA